GTGAAATGGAAAGACAAGTCGTAGACGATTCAGTGAAGATGTCATCACCGGAGCGGTTGAGTTCGCCGTGTGAGAATGCTGCTTCACAAACGACTGTTACAAGTTGGGATGCTAGTGATTCAGTCGTTGGAAAGTGTGGATCTCTTATGGATTATGATGAACTTGGAGATGAAGAGGTCAACTCGTACGCCGACGCTGAAGTTGATGAAGTGTTACTGTTGCAAGTATGGTTGCCTTGGCTGAATCTGATCACGTTGAATTGGACGGCATGGGTGAAATTGCAGACACACAGCCGTATCATGAAGTATTTGATGCGAGTGCATTTATGCAGCAGAACATTGGGAAAAGAACTCAACGAGAGGAGACACAGTCGGAAGAGCTACGAGTTGAACGGAGTGCTGCAAAACAAGAACCCAAACGTACACGTACTGGATTGCGTGAATGTCACGAACGCCGACGCCCCTCGTATTTGGACGATTACGTCGTGAATGTCGTGCAACACGCGTCACGTGTCTTGGACAAGAATGGAAGACCTATCCGAGCTAGCAATGTGAAGATCCCGAAAAACCATAGAGAAGCAATGCGGTCTGGATTTGCTGACTTCTGGAGACAAGGTGAACTGGAAGAGATGGCAGCATTAAGGATGAAAGGGGTTATTGAAGAGATTGCAGTGGAAGATGTTCCGAAGGACGCAAAGCCTATCAACACCAGATGGGTTTATGCACTGAAGTCGGATCACCAAGGATATGTTATCCGGTTCAAAACTCGCATCGTTGCATTAGGCAATTATCAGCGACCGGGGATTGACTTTCGTGAGACGTTCTCACCTGTGGCGCGTATGTCATCTTTCCGCATGATGATTGCATTGGCCGCAGTGTTGAATTTGCTGCTGTACGGTGGAGATATTAACACGGCGTACCTCAATGCAGTACTCGGAATACGACAATATCTGAGGTCAATTGACGGGTTTCCATGTGAAATTGATGGGCACATGTATGTTGTTGTGAAGGCATTGTATGGCCTACGACAATCCGGGCAAGAATGGAACTCTGAGCTAAATGATAGGCTGCTCGAACATGGATATCAACGCTCAATGACGGAACCTTGTCTTTATTACTGTTTTGACGATGAAACCACTATATTGGTCTTGATTTACGTGGACGATATTATGGTGGCAACTAACGACGAGTCGAAGAAGGAAAACTTGTTCAAGGAGCTCAATGAGGCATACGGGATCAAGGATCAAGGTTTGTTGACAGAATATTTGGGTATCGAAGTGGAGCAAACTGGTGGGAATATTACTATTCGTCAAAGTAAGTATGCTCGAGAGATTTTGAAGACTTTTGGATACGACCAAGCCCATGCAGTAGGCAACCCGATGGAGACTAATGCTCGGCTGGTACCGTTAGCCGATGACGACGAGACAGATACAAGTTTCGAGTATCGTAAAGCGATCGGAATGCTCATGTACTTGGCTACGGGGACTCGTCCTGATTTAGCATATACAGTCGGTCAACTGAGTCGATTTGTTGGGAAACCTTCGGCGAAACATGTTGGAGCATTGA